AATTCCAGCTCACCACATCGCAGAAGAAGAGGAAGCTGAGTGAAGGGCTTTTCTTGGAGGACGGAGAGGATGATGAAGTTGTGACCCATGACGTTGACAACTACCTGGACAGGCTGTTTACGTTGCTCTTGGCTTACGCCATGGCAGGATGTTCCGGGGCGACCGGAGCGCCAGACGCTGCTCAGGAGCTCAACTTGGGAGCCGACACAGTGAAGTTCGTCAACGTTCCCATGGATGTAGTCTACAAGTACTACTTCAGGGCCAAGCGCACAGTGACAGGGCTGCCTGCGTCACAGCGCATGCAATGGCTGCAAGCCAAGGATGTGGAGGAGCGCAGTGAATGGGTCTCCAAGTTCCGTGAGTCCACCATGAGCTTGGGCCAGGTGATCAGCGAAGTCTACACTTCCAGGGATGCGCACTGGTCAGCCCCTGGGCCGGCTACTCCGGAAAAGAAGACCACTGCCCCCACAGCAGCTTCGACTGCGACTCCGTCCAAAGTCCAACCCAGTGCGTCGCCATTGAAGTTGGGGAAACCGATCAATGGCAAACAGGTGGCGACGGCCATGAAGGACGGCACCAAACTTTGCCCCCAGTTTCAACGCGGAGGGTGCAAAGCCAAGCCATGCCCCCAAGGAGCCCACCGTTGCGCAGCGGTTATCAGGAAAGACCGAGTGTGCGGAGCTTTCAATCATGGGGCGGCAAATTGCACTGGCAAGCGTTGACACACCCCAGAAGAGGAGGCGGCTGCCTCTTTTGGGTCAAACGGCATAGAGCCGCAGGAGGGGCGACCTCTGATGGCGGATCTTATGGCGGGTCCCAATGCCCCCCTTACCAAAGCCTTTGTCAGTTGCGGCTGGAGCTGCCTGACGGTCGATTGGTTGCTGGACGAGAGCCATGACCTCTCGGACGAGCGCAGGCAGCAGTCCTTGAGCAAGCAACTTGAAGAGGTGATCTTCATTGCAGCGGCCATCGATTGCTCCACCAAGAGCCGAGCCAGAGAGATTCCTCGGAAGTTCGAAGATGGTAGGCCAGCACCTGGCCCTCTCCGTTCTGAAGTCTACCCAGATGGCTTGCCTCACTTGGTTGGCAGAGATGCCAAAAGGGTTGACATGGACAACAAGGCATGCAACTACGTCTTGGGGGAGATCCAGAAGCTGAGAGACAGAGGTGGAGGCAGTGTACGAGAAAACCCTGCCCGTTCTTTGCACTGGTGGACTTCAGCAGAGGTGACTATGTGGGAGTCTGGACAATGGGTTGACACTTCGTACGCAGCATGCACCTTAGGTGGCGCACGTTGCAAGCATCAAGTGTTGCGACACAATGTGGAGGAGATCCAGCAATGGCCCCCAGCCAACTGCCACCACGTGCATGACCCACAAGAATGGACCCCCTACACTTCTGATGGCATAAGAGTTTACCCGTCCAAAGAAGAGGCAGAGTACACGGCAATCCTTGCTTTCTCCATTGCAGTCTCAGCTAGTTGGTGGGCAGCCCGTCGAGGGCTGGCCAAGTTGCATGTTCCTCGCATGCCCACATTCTTGGCTGTGGGGCGACGGGAGCATTGGTTGGACATGGACCCTCGTGCAATGCGAGAGTGGGCAATGGCACCTTTAGCTGTGACACTTGGGTTGACAGAATCCCTGCGAGCCGAGCGACCGGGGTTACCAGTCAGGAAGCTCGTGCAGGACGTCATGATCGAGAAGAACAAGTTGCCACACCAGACGATCTATGTTGTGCGAGGCAGCTTCCACCATCGGCTGACGACGACCAAGTGGAAGTCGCCTTGGACACCAGGCCACAATTGCGAGGCTGGAGAATGGCATGCACGGTACATTGCCCATATCCGCACATCGCCGTTGTGGGACGCCCTGCATGAGCTCAAGGGCGTGGCCTTAGCTTGCGACTGTCCTATGGAACAACTTTGCGAGGCCGATCTTCTCATTGGACTCTACTTTGATGCCATGGCCCCTGGGGGCGACCCAGGCAGTAGAGGCACAGATGGCAAATGGAGCCGGGCAGTTACGTTGTTGCAAGGTATTCAGGCGATCCCCAAAGGAGTTGCCCTACCCATGATGAGCCAGGAGGCAGTAGTGCTGGCATTTCGCAAGCTTTTCCCCGAGCATTGGTTCAGGAGTTACAAGTTTGCGATGGTGGAGGACCTCATCAACAGCCCGCCGTTTTGCTCCTACGCAGCCTGGCTGGCAGAGCGTGGTGAGGCTTGGGACGGCCCCTTAGTCCCCCACCTTGCTGCGGGATCTGTGAGGCAACTGGCCCGAATTGGAGAAGGAGGCCAAGTCGGTGCAATGACGCACAAAGCAGCACTACCACCACTCCTGGCGTTCAACTTGGAGCCGGACGATCATTTCCAACAAGCCCTCCAACGGGCCCAGAGGCCGCTGCCCTATGAAGACCTTCCAGTCTCTGACATGGATCTGGAGTTTGTGGCCGATGCATACGCATCCCCGACCAAATCGCTGAGGCCGCGGAGGCAACAGGCAGTGGGGGCATTGCGCGAGCTGAAGAGACGCTGGGAGGGGGTAACCCTCCACTTGAGATCTTTTCAGGAAACCGCCGTGCAGCAAGTCACAAAACATCGAGATATGGGGCTCATAGCCTTGTTGATGGTGTTGACATCCTGGGCTGACACTAGCTTCCCCTTTGGCTTGATCTGTGGCTTGCCGGCAGTGGGCTATGCGCCACCCTATGGAATTTTTCCCCAGCAGCCGGCTGAGGTGATCAGCATGACAGATGTTTTGGATGGGTGGCAGGAACACAACCAGCACATCCTGCACCAGCTGCGAGCAGGCAAAGATGATGAGTTCCTTTTGCAACAATCCATGGAGGATGCCAACAACGGGTTTTGCACCGCACCTCTGCGACGAGCCGAATTTTTGCGGCTCATTGGCAACCGAGCACATCGTTTGATCCCTCGTTGTGTCATCACGCAGAGTTCAGGCAAGCAGAGAGTGATCGACAACGGCGACACAGGAGGACAATCAGCCCTCTCCTCCGATGCCAACAAGCTCACCCTGTGCAGTCCTTTGCGTCCAGCCCAGCACATTCGTTTGGTGATGCATAGATGGACAGCAGAGGACATCGAGCACTTCTTCGCCAACGATGCCTGGGAGACAGGCCAGGAAGATCTACCATCAGCCTACCGGTATTGCCCCATGGCGATGCAAGAAAGCCTAGGCTGTATAGTGGTGTGGTACCACCATGAATGGCAAACTCCAGCATATCAGGTCTATGCAGGCCTCCTTTTTGGGCTTCCGTTAGCGGTCACTTCATTCAACCGTTTTTCGCGGTTGTTGGAAGCTTTGGCCAGGCGGTTTTGCCAAGTTTTGACATCTCTCTACTTCGACGATGCGACCATCACGGACCTACGTTCCTCCAAAGGCTCCGGACAATGGGCCATGAACCAGCTTTGCAAGTTGATAGGCTCCCCCTTTGCCGAAGACAAGAAGCAGTCAATGCAGAGCACAGGCACCTTTTTGGGCCTAACCCATGACCTCGACTGCATCAACCAAACAGGGCATGTCCGTTTTTGGGCTCGAGAACGTCTTCATGATAAAGTTCGTGACCTCCTCACTACGGCTAGGACTACAGGTCACTTCAGCCGTGGCACAGCTTCGAAGTTGTATGGCCTGGCGAATTTCCTAGAGCAGGGTATCTATGGCCGTGTAGGGTATGGTGGCCTGATGGCAATCAAAGCCAGACAGGATGAAGCCACTACATCGATAACCCCTGAGATTGAAGCATGCTTCGAGGTGATCGAAGCAGTGATGCGCTTTCAGCCAAAACGGGAATTTCCCGTCTTTCACCTGGACAACCTGCGCTTCCTTGCTGCCTCAGATGCTGCGGTGGAGGCTGACAATCCAGGTTCAGGAGGTTTTCACCTCATCTTTTTCCAGCCTGACGGATCCCAGATACGTCACAGTTTTGTAGCCAACAATTGTGCAGAGCTTCAGAAATTATGGCAGCCTGCAGAAACCCACATCGCCCAGTTGGAGCTCTCGATGGTGCTGTACGCCTTAGTGGAACGACCTGACCTGTTTCGAAATCGACACGGGCTTTGGTTTCTGGACAACGTTGCAGCCGTCATGACGCTAGTGAGAGGACGTTCTAGCAATGCCGACTTAGCCAAGCTAGGTCATTTGATCCATCTAGCTCTGTTTGCACTGCGAGCCCAGGGTTACTGGGAGTACGTCCAGAGCAAGAGCAACTGGGCTGATGACATCAGCCGCCTCGGCGCTGAGGACCCATGGTGGCGATACCATGGTTTTGACTTTTATTCGTCGTACCTTCCCACTATCTTTTTCCAGCTGCCTTTCGTCGCTGTCATTCTCACCTTTGAATTCCTTTAGTGCTTTGGGGATTTTGAGTGCATTGGGTGATACCTGCTGAGCAGGTTCCAGCCTGGATCACCAGGCAGCTGACCAGCGGTGACACTGGTCTGAGGCTATGTACATGTCACAACGTGACGACCCAAAGCAAACCTGAGGATTGCAGGTGAAATGTGATTGACATTGGCAGTGCTGTGAAAAAGGAAAGCTGCGGAAGAGCGAGTAGTACCGAGTTTCATATAACACTTTGAGATGTATATATATATACACTATACATATTTATAGCATTATATATATTATATATATACACATATCCCGTGTATAATTCCCAATAATCATAATATATATATATATATAGTAAGCTCATATCCATTCATATCCAATTACAACCACCTTTTATATTCATCCCATAGCCACCACCAAATATCAGATTGATGGTTACATAACCGGTCGTATCCAATTATATCCCCGCTGTAGTCGGTTGTATGCCCGTATTGTTGTTTATTGAATCCACAATTCACTGATTAAATCATCTTAGAGTATGTGTGATTCTCGATTCATCACCAGGTTTACATAAGTTTACCAGTTAAGTCCAGAATGTGTGGTTTTAGTGTTTAGTGAACGTTAGTTAAGTCCTCCAATTTCCCAACTCCCGAGGTTCTGCGGCGGATCCCCATGTCCTGCTGCCATTCATGACGCCCGTCGAGCCCCGAAGCTCGTTGCGCAAGCGCGGGTCTTGAAGGGGAAGATATCAAAGATATGTACATATACAATATACTGTATATATTTGTATAGATTATGACCATGATATATGACCGTGTTATATCAAGAGAAAGATACTATGTTAATTGCCATTATAACTATATATATATGTACGGTATATATATACGTGTGTGTGTAGCTATGGAAAGAATACATGAATATGGTCTAACATGATCATATCATATGGCTACCAGGGTGACCATTGATCTATATGGGTTGGTCTGGTGAATTGTGGCATTCCAGCGGGACCATATCAGATTATGTTATTCATGATTGCCATAATCCATCGATCCTGTATATCAACAAGGTCTTACTGATATATATGTTAGTCATGTTAGTCCAGCAGGAGCATCTTAGACCTGGTTGGTGGTTTGGAACATGTTTTATTTTTCCATATATTGGGAATTTCATAATGCCAACTGACTTCCAATGACTTCCATATTTATTTCAGAGGGGTTGAAACCACCAGCCAGAGACTATGCCATGTTTTTCATGATATATCGTATATCCATCAATCCATTTGATATTGGCCCCCAGGAAGAGAAGATGGACTTGCTGAGGCAGGCTGTTACATTCCTTTGCGTAAAGCAGTGATTGTCCTTTGGAAATCTTTGGAAAATGGATGAAAGTACTAGATTGTCTCTAATCTTTCCACAATTGTCCATGATTTTCCCACTTCAGCTCAGTGATGTTCAAGGTTTTTCCATGTTTTTCCCAATTTAACGGTCAGAAAAACTTCAGAGCTTGGACCCTTTTGGTCAAGTCGCGCAGGATGCTGAAGAAGAACGACTTTGGCAATTCCTGGCAGGTTTGGAGCCTTCTGAGAAGCTTCCAAACAAAAAACCTCTGCGGCGGAACCGGCCGGGTGTGGGGGTAAAACTGTTACTGATCAGCTTGACTTAACCCATAAAGATGATGGGAACATGTGGGAACGGTCTCTTCGTGGTTGGGATGATTAGGAAGGTATGATGGGTGTTGACATGATTCGTTTTTTTGAATTGTTCCAATTTGTATAGAATTGTGTGAAACCTAGCATTTGTTGTATCTGCAGATTTGATCAATAGATTAATGGCCATGATAGCTCAAAGTCCTTTCCTGCAGCTTGCACAGGAGGCTTGCACTTGACCGCCTCAGAATCGTTCATGCCGTTTTTTGGCTCTGCTAAGAGCAACTAGTCTTGCTTCGAATGAGACGTTCGTGGCAAGGCAGTCAGAATCACCGAAGCAAGAACCTGATCTGGCAAAACAGGTTAACCTTTGGGCTTGTCTTTAAAACTAGGCTACCCCATTCCATCCAGTGCGTCATCATCATTTTCCCTAAGAACTACAAATTGCATAAAATTGCAACTTTATCCATTTTTATTGGGGGCCGTCCCCATTTTCAGTCACATTTTGCAAAACAGTGGTGCTGTATGTACATCCAATGTCTTGGCAAAGGCGAGCTGCTAACTGCGCGATGTTGACTTTGAACTCCGTGACAAAGTTCACAACGTCAGATTGATGGGTCATGTTTGTGGGTCATTCACATGTAACTGTATTGTGTATATATATATATTACATATATGGGTTATACAATGTTACATATATATATATGGGTTATTGACATATTTACGAAGCACTTACTCTTGCAGTTGGATGAGTCAGCTGTAATTGGTTCACCCTCGCAGAGGCATGATCAAAAGCCACAGAGTGCTGAGAGCATGCTGCTCCGCTCCAAAGAAAGTGGTGTGCCACCCAGACACCTGGAGATGGATCGAAATGAAATGACCAGGCCTGGAATGAACATCCACCAAGCTGCTGTTTTAGAGTACCCAAGGTACCAGGGTTTTGACCCATAACCACATCAGACACGGACCTGATGAGACTCAGTGATCAGTAGTCTTGGCCATTGATTCGCCGATGTCGTTTGCCTTCAATTTGTTTCCCAGGCTCAACACGCTGGAGAAAGGAAGCATTGTGCTCAGGGGGGTGCATGTTTCTGCCTCAGCCAACCTGCCCGGCTTGCCGGGTGAAGCTTGGATTCCCTTTCGGCTGATCTCAAGGTCAGCCCTTTGTGGAAAGCTTCCACACCTGCTCCACGGTTTCCGACCTCAGAATGGCGAATTCTCATAACTGGAGTTGGATCATTTGTGTTTTGTATGGCCGAACTGGGGTCCACACGAAGACCATCAAAGACCACTGGGAATGCTGGCTTTGAAGTTGTGGTGATCAACATCATACATCATGCTAGAGCATTTTCTAGTTCATTCACAGTATATACAGTAACCCTACCCATAAAAAACAACTGTTACCACGATTTTAGGATGTTTTTTTTTCGATCATCTCTTTTGCCCACAGATTGGCATGCTTGGCTGATGCACAGCTTGCCAAGGACGGGCTTTGGCCAGCCAGGCGAAGCAGTCCGATGTGCCCTGGCTGAACTTCGATTCTGGTATGTCCCAAAATGATCCAAAATATGGGTAGTTACCCAAAAAAAACCTTTGTTTGAAGACTAAAACAGTTGTGTGTTGAATGTTTTGATGCTATCCCTATTTTAGGAAATACCTACATTCACAATCATTTATAGGGTCATCATTGTGGATGGATGAAGCTCCGATTAACCAAGCAGAATTGATGATTTCCATAGGTTTTTTTGGCCACTCTTAGTGATGGCAGGCATTAGTTGTGCGAAAAGACGTGTGACGCAACTGACACTGGACGGGTTGAAGCAAATAAAACCGGTACATCATGGCAAAATATGGGATATATTATCTACATTAATATTATCGAGACAATCTGGGGCTGTGAGGTCTAAGGTGTTAAGACCTATGGTTTTATTGGGATATCACTATTATAAACTATTCTCAGCCCCCTATGTTCGGAGAGCTCCTGGACGCCGAGGCCCGAAGCCTTTTTGCGAAGCTCCAAGTCCTGTCCAGGCGGGACGATGACTGGAAGCTGAAAATGCTGAGAGATTGGGATTCTTTCGGTGGTGCTTCATAGTTATGGGAGAATGGATCGATTATTTTGATGGTTATGGATGGTTATCTGTGAAGGTTATTGATAGAGAATGGAGTTCTTTCTTGGTGATGATGGTTCATGATTCCACTTTGGTTAATGTAGCTTGCTTGCTGTCTTACAAGCACTGAAACAAAGGCAGAGCTCTCCTAGCAAGGCCCGGAACAGATCGGAGTGAAGCAGATGTCGTGGTGTGGGTGAACAACAATCATCATCATCATCATCATCAACATCATCATCATCATCATCAACAATGATAGTATATATCTAATGAATATATTGAAAATCATCATCACCACCACCACCACTATTGCTATATTAAAGTGTTATGATTGGCACCCAAGGGCATGACCCAATTCAGTGCATGGATGGATGGCCCCTCGGAGCCCACCAGGATGAAGCCGCAGCAGTGTGTGGTACTTTGGCGATGACCTGAGATGACTTTTTTGGAGGTCTGGAACTGGGGCATACCCTCTGGTTATGTCAAAATAGCTATGGAAAATCACCATTTTTGATGGGAAAACTCACTATTTCTATGGCCATTTTCAATAGCTATGTTAAATTACCAGAGGGTACCCCACTTTGGGCCATTTTAGATCAGTTGGTTGGTCATTTTCGTAGGAACAATGATGACAGTTTTTATCGATTTGGGATATGTTCAGAGCTGGGTCCTGAAATGGGGAAGAAATTGACATGAATTAGAATCATTTGATTGGATCTATCGACCATTTTTGCTGGACTACACAACATGGCAATTGCACTGGATATTTATGTATATTTATGTAATATTGTACTGGTTGGTGGTTTCAAACATTCTTTATATATGTTTTATTTTCCATAATATATGGGATATCCTTCCCATTGACTAATATTTTTCAAGATGGTTAAAACCACCAACCAGTTATGTAATATTATATAATGCTATTTACTTGGCCTGTGGATTTGTCACCCAAGATGCCCAAGGCTCGACGGCTCAAAACAGAGCCCCGGTCTCAGAAACTGTCACAGAAAGTGAGGCATTTGTTGGTCCATAAATCGATGCAAATCTGTGCCAAGGATAGCTACGTTTACGGCCACAGAGGCCCACCAGCTTTCAGTAGTTTTGGCTCAGCCAGGAGCTCAGAGCAGAAAGATTGGCATTGCCATGTTCGGTGTTTGGAAGACTGATGTGACAGATCGCAATCAACCCACATACCAAATACTCCCCACATACCAAATACATCCAAATACCTATAATATGTGCATAGTTGTTCCATACTGAAATGCTCAAGATTCAGATTCCTCACCAAGTTCACTGCATTGCAGGCCACGGTGTCAAGGCCTATGACTCGAAATCAGCCTGTTGACCAATCTCAGGTTCGGCCTGCGAAATACCTTGATCCTTGACACCCTTGCTTCTCATGTGAAGCTCTCAGTGCAGGTCCTGGGAAAACAGAAAACCTGGATGTTTGGCCAGTTTCACTGAGGCCCTTCGAGGGATGGTGTCGTACTCCCCCTATCTTTTATGCCGGGCATCCAAGTGGTTTTTCGTCTTTCAAGGGAGAAAGCATGAGAAAGCCATGTGATAAGGGGTACCCCATGGTACCCCTGTTTTAGGACAATCTCGGACACTCTGCAAGACGAAAGACTAAGGTGGACTGGCAAATTCCTTCGCGCGGAATCGCTATTTGCACCGGCCACTGATGGATGCCGCGTTCTCAGGGCAGTAGATGGATCAAAACCGAATGCCATACTGGGGGAAATGAACAGTCATTTATATCCATTAAAATACCGTTGTTGGGGGGTGGAGTGCAGGGTAGGTTTTAAATACCCGTACCAATTTTGAATTTTGTTTATTCTGTTCTCTATTTGCAACTTGCCTGTTTGATGCTGTTTATGCAGTGAATGAGGCAATTGCAATTCATGTCGCCAACGCCTCTGACACACTGTCCCCTGTGGACATCGCAGTGTTTTATGCTCAGTTCCTGTATTTTGCCAGACATCAAGGAGTTTTGCTATAGTTACACAGCGCAATTGGATTCCAATCTAACACTGGGTTTTCTTCAGTTGCTGATTTCAGCACATCATTCATTATTTATCAGTGATTTATCAGTTTGCATGCTGAGGTTGGTATATGCACGGGACTCAGGGTTGACTCAGAGGGTTGATTCTCCAGACATATCCAGTCTGCGGGATGATTCGCATCGTTTTCTGCGTTTTGTGTGTGTGTGTCATACATAAACACATCTAGTATAGATACGTATGTGTATATATCCCATATGCTCCATGTATGGAATATTTACCATCATTTGCCCTAAAAATGACCCAGTTTTGTAGGTAAATATACCATACATGGAGCATATGGGTATAATATATATATATATATATTATTATATATATTATATATATATATTATATTATATATATACTGTATATAGAGAGAGAGAGAGAATGTCTCGATGTATAGGATAGTTTGTAGAGGTTGAAGCCGCATTCTTGTTCGTTGAGGGCTACGCAGAGTTGGCGTACAATCCGCGGAACAACCTTTTGGAGGTGTGCGCCGAGCGCCTCCAGAAGACTTACCTAGAGGCCAGCAGAATGGGTCCAGCGTGAGGTAACTTTGGGGGGCATCAAACGTGCAGCAGATGTGGCAGTGTGTCAAAACCTTGTATTTCTGGTGAACATCAAAATTAAATGGATGTTCATCCCCCTAAAAATGTATCTATAGGTATTGATCCATACCCATGTTGCACTAGAATGCAATTTTGTCCCTCTGTTAATGTCGCATAGCATACCAGGTTGGAGCTCCCAACTGCGCTAGCATCATGAATTCCTATGCTCGGCTGTCTGCAGGGAGCTTATGGATTCTAATATGGTTGTGTCTGAAAATTGAGTATACCTCCAAGCCGTTTCAGTGGCGACAATAATGATAGACCGTCAAATTTGGGGAAATTCCTCCTAAAGTTACAGACAAATCCATACGACACTGTTGTTCCCTGCGAGTTGTGAAAGACTCAGGAAATTACAAACCATTTCACTGCGCCACTGGACATCACTGGACCCAGGAATGCAATCCCGCTGTATTTCATTGCCTCTCTAGGCAGGTGCTGAGACAAATTGGATGGAGAACTTTCTACAAACGATCGCCTGGCAGGGCAATCGTCCATGCTCAGCCGGAGACGTTTGAAGTGCACAACATAAGCTGCTTGGATGATTTGGATGAAAGTGTGCATTGAAGAAGTTGTGGATGTTCATATATGTTCATAAACTATCATAAACTTAAGCTTATTGCCAGAAGAAGTAGCCAGTCCAAGGACATCCAAGGACAGGGCGCTTTTTGTTAGGCATCGATGTGAAAGTGGATCGCTCTGGAGGTATCATCATGAATTCTTATGCCAAGTGCGCGGTCTCTAACTCAGCATGTCGTGAATCAGGAAGGCTTTGGAAGACACGACATGTATCGACATGTCAACCTCTGGTCCTCTTTGGCTCGAGCTGATTCACGGCGTCGAGAATGCGGTGCCATTGTGTTTCTCATGATTTTCATGTCACCAGCTGGCTGCCACTGAGGATGATCCCCTCATGAAGGCCACTGCCTTTATCTGAATCACCTGAATCGGATTTGGACGTGAAAAGAATTTAAAAGAACCCAATCCACCCACCGGAGTGAAGGACCAACAGCATGCAGTTACAGTGTTCCTCATGCATGAACAAACTCATGACGTAGCTGAAGTCAACATGATTACATCCCATGGAGAGAAGTCATGTCATGTCCTAGAAAGCTGACACAAATCCTCTTGCCTCCAATGGCCCGGCTTGGCGCATTGCTAGTGGCCAGCTTCTTATCGAATGATGTAGTTGTTGACAGGAAGTCATCAGTGTTTTGTCTCTTGCACTAAGTAACGTTGCAAGACGTTCTTGGATCACTTGCGTTTGATCTAAGATATTATGTATATTTACGGATTTATGGTCTATAAGATTCTAAAAATTCTAATAGTATTTCTTACCAAAAAATGGAATGTTTGAACGCCTCTTGCAGGCATGCGCCGCTGGTGCCTCTAGCCTTGAGGACAACAGCCAGCTGTGATTGCTGTGGATGTGACTGGTAACTGAACTCTTTTTAAGCCATGTTAAGCCCATGGTTTCATATGGAGGTTTCCTAAAATGGGGGTACCCCCAGTTATCATCCATGTTTGTTTAGGATCTTCCATTATAAACCATCCAGCATCATCCAGCTATTGGGGTAGCCTCATTTATGGAAAGCCTCATATCATGTATCCATCTGGACCCAGGAGATTTTCTTCTTGAACAGCTCCAAGGGGGCCAGTTTGCTGAGGCGGCTCAGCGGGTCGGAGGTTTCTCAGGTTGGGATTCAGTCAGACAGTCAGCTCCATGCAGGTCTGCAAGTCACGCAGCGCAGTGGTCTCAGATGCGCACCGCTTCGAAGCAAAGAATCATTGAAAGATCATTGAACAAGATCATACAAGTGCAAAAAAAGAAAGGTTTCAAAAATGCATAGAATTGCGGTTCATTGCTGTGTTTTATGCATGTTTTAGTAGTGCCATACCAGTCCCATGCTGTGAACAGATTGGACCACAAAATCCAAGGCCATTCTGGCAGTTGTCGCCATACTTTCTCACAGAGCTGCCTGGCCAGTGTGGTCCAACCACAGCCGTTGCCTCGGCGAAAAACCAATGTGGTGCTAGATCCACATAGTTAGCTAAGTTGGTATATCACTAGGCTAAGATAGGCTAACTATATAGAACTGTATAGGCTTTATGGATGTTTATGATAGATATATCCTAATATTTTATGATACATTATAGGTAGATTTACACATATTTGGTACCATACCATGGGGTGTTTAAGATATGTGTATGATTGTGTATGTATATACACACGTGTGTCTGTATATATATATAGAGAGAGAGTATGTGCTATGTACATGGCCCCACATGTCGAGACGACTGCCCTAAGGCCATCATGATCTTGAATGCTCTTCGAGCACAGGGCCTGGAAGCCGCGGCCGGAACCTGAATGATGTAGAGGACGTCGGGAAAATGCCAATTTGATCGTTTAAGAAAAACAAGAATTGATACGGTATCCTAAACGATATTCTAAATGTTCCTCTTCCTGAATCCATAGAGAAGAATTCCTTCTAGGATATTGGATGTCTTGGTGTTGAAGGTATCTTCCACGTATTCCTCGCACTTTGGGAACTATTCGGAGGCTGGGAGTACAGTCAGCTTTTGTTTTTTGTGGGAATTTGTGGGAATTGGATGGAATTGGCTGCCCCCGGAATTCAGCCCTGAACCTGCGAGGAGTACCACTATTGGGACTCCAAGAATCTTTGGAGTGCGAACAAGCACTGTGTCGAGGCGGCTACAACGCCCTGGGAGGGCTCCCTGGAGCAGGTTGGGCCACTCGGTGCTGGTGCCGTCCCATTTTTCGGTGGTCGTCCCTAAGGTTGCAGCCTTGATGACATGCCACGGGGCTGCAGCAAAGCCAGCCGGGACCTCATTGTTCCATGATGCCTTTGTTTGGGTGATTTTGGGTGGCTAAATATGTGGGATTTAATGGATTTACCCCCAAGTAACATCAAGTGACTACGTCAATTGGGGAAGATAAACCATTGGATCTTGGGGTCCCCTATTATCAGACAATCCCATTTGGAGTTTGATTTTTGCAGCGAAGAAATCACTATGAAGTGATGAAGTGGTCGAGGTCGAAGCAAACTCTTCATCTCTGACGGAGTTTCGCTCTACAATCAAAAAGGCATTCCGACCAATGCAGCAGACATTCCTTCAGACGGGACAGCCGACCGACTGGAAATGTTGACTGAGATTCACCCTAGCAGTCCTTCAAAATTGAGCAGGACAATACTAAACGCTGCACACAAATATCAAAAATGGCTATGTTTCAAAACCATTTCAATCGAAACCCTGAACATCAAGATACATTTCAGATACATCAGAGTAATTCAAAGCAGCTGGTAAATAGATGGGTTTGTCTGAAAATAGGGTATATTCCCAATTATAGCCATTTAATAGGGATAATGATCATTAATCATTGGGTTTAGGGGTACACTATTTTCATTGCCCATTCCTATGGTCCTATGGTGCCACTGACTGTCAGGCCTTTGAAGACGAGCTGAGCTTTGTGGCGATCAACTTCAACAGGCAGACCTTGAGACAACGAGGAGATAACAAACCTCTGTTGATTGGTTAATGTTGGGGATTTACCCTCTGATAATCAAACACGACATGCTGGAAATTCCACCCTTTATGATAATTTATGGTTGATTGATGTTGATTGTCCAATTAAAACACCATTTACCAGTGGATTTTCCAGCTATGTTTCATTACCGGAGGGTATAGTACTAGTAGCTGGTTTATTGGCGATGGTAACCCCATCGGAGGGATTCTGTTTCAAGTCTTGGTATGTAATGTCGCAAACCCAATGACATTTTCGCAACTACTGGGATGGTAAATAGACCACCCATTGATGGTCATGTTGGGGATGCCATCCATAATTGGGTGAACCCAACATGGTTTCTTCTATATAGTTATTTTTTTGAATGGAATAGCTACTTGGCATGATTGTACCCCTCAACATTTCACTCTCCTATTCTTAACTGATTGTATCCCAATCAATATATATATATAATATTATAATTCGCATTCTATCCATTGTTGGTAAAGCGCTATATCCCATGAATATCCATGAATGCTCATTAATTCACCATAATTCACCCATAATATCCCTATGTTTGTTTGTCAAAGCATCCATTTTGGGGCAGGAGCGGGACATCACAGCCCCATTGGCGCATATGACGAAGAGACTGATCGTGTACTTGTTCTGGATGTTGCAAGGTACGACCAGGGAATATGATGGGAAGATCATATCATTAAATCTGGGTACATTATAACGACCTCACTGCGACCTCACTGGGAATGATGGTTAGTAAGGGTGACTATCCCTAAATGACCGCAAGTTTCAGGTTAGTGAATTATTATGATTTACCCAGATTAAATGGGATTAAACATATGGGATATGTTTGATGGATATTCCCATAATATAGATCTACTGATTCAAGATCATTTGAATGCTGCGATGCTACTGACTTGAGCAATGTTCAACAAATGTCTTGTTGGTTAATACATTATTATACATTATTATACATTATTATATACATTATTATATACATTATTATATACATTATTATACATTATTATATACACTATTATATACATTATTATACATTATTATATACACTATTATATACATTATTATATACATTATTATATACACTATTATATATATTATTATATACATTATTATATACATGATTATATACATTATTATATACATTACTATATACATTATTATATACATTATTATATACATTATTATATAGATTATTATATAGATTATTATATAGATTATTATATACATTATTATATGAATTATTATATACATTATTATATACATTATTATATACATTATTATATACATTGTTATATACATTATTATATACATTATTATATACATTATTATATACATTATTATATACATTATTATATACATTATTATATACATTATTATATACATTATTATATACATTATTATATACATTATTATATACAGACCATACCATACCATACCATACCATACATACGTGTTGATTGTCGTAATCCATGAGCTGGAATCCTGTTCTCAACCAACCATGGATTCCTTGGATGCGTCTGAAAATGCGCGCATTTTACCGGATATCATTAGGGTATTATTGATAATGGGATATATCACCAACGATAGGATTTGTGGGTGTGTTTGGAAACGGGTTCTTTAAACAAGAAAAATGCTGTATAACGGGAAATAGTTAGATGTATGACTAGCGATATGATATATGTTTGAAAAATACCTCCGAAGCCTCCGAATTTGCAATTGTTAAAATGAAGCGTGTTAGTGGATTTAGGGATATTTTTTTTCAGAGGAACCCACTTGGGATCCTCACACAAACCTGGGTTGTGATGGGCTCAGCTAGACATGGATGGGTCTGGCAATGGCAGGTACAAGTATCCTCCATGGTGGGCTGCTTTGTCAGATGTTTTCGCAGCAATGCAGTCCTATGCGCCCCGGCTGGTAAGAGGGAAAGGCTCAATGTGCAAAAAATGTCAATGACCTATTCCCAGGATCCAAGAATATCAAATACACATATTTATATATATAATATTATATAATAATATATATATACACTATATTACGTACGTACGTACGTACGTCCTACCTACCTACCTACGTACATACAGACAGACATACATACATAATATGTATGTACCCAAATTATCCTTAACAGTCTGAAATCGTGCTGCAGGTATTCGCACATCATGCTCCAGACCTCCATTGTAGGTCTCTATATTCGGATGATTAGATTCTACACGTTGTCAACTCTTTGAAATCAACCAAGGTACCTGGGTTCTTCTCAACTCCTCGCGGATACATTGAAGTTGGCATGCCGAAATCTGAAGGAATTCTTGCGCTTTAAGTACATTGTAGATCATTGTAGCAAAATGATGCAAAATCAACAGCCCATCGAAGCACTAAAAGGGTGTGTTCGAAGCCGTTCCAGCGGCAAAAAGGGCTGATTGAAATACATCTTGGTCCTTTACGTTTAAGATACCTGTTCAGCGCATGAGTTTTCGGTGCTTCAAGTGCAAGCACTTCTATCTTCCCAGCGCAACTGGTGTCTTTGCACTCCGCAAACCTTAGTCATCTAGAGACCCACTGGAAAATGCTTACAGTGTTAAGAGGCTTCTGATTTTTTCTGAGCCCTCACGAATCTGGTGTTCGCGCCAATGTGTTGGTTCCTTTTTTGAGCATGGCATAGCGGATCATAGCGGCATTTTTTCCCAAGCTGACCAGGTCCGGAAGAGCCAGACGCGACAGCGGCATGTGATTCAACACTGTGTCACGACTGTGCTGGGTGTGTCACGACTGTGCTGGGAGACTCGGAAACCTTTCGTTGCCAGGATGCATCTTCTTGGTGACTATCTCGTTGACAGGCCACTGATTTTACCATTTAGGATTGGGATGACACGTCAAATCGTTTAAAGATGTCTGACTGAAACATGCGTCCATGGTCAAAAAAGTGTCTTAAAGTGTAGATCATGTTATATCATGTTGGTAAGGCAATAGTAAACCACCCATATGTTAAAATTTTAAACATGTTTAAACCATCCGTTTATGGTAGATTTTAGGGTGGATCACATCGCCCTTTTACGTCAGGGTGGACGAGCTGAGTCCACAGAATGTCTCCAACGTGGTCCATGCCTTCTCAAGGCTCAGCTGTCAGTTCCCCGGCGCTGTCATGTTTTTCCAATGGAGAATTAATGATGTCTATATGATGAAGAATTAATGTTGTATAATCTGTATAATTGTATAATATGTATAATGACACTATATTATGTAGATATGTTATATTAGAATATATTAGATGTGTATATTATAATATATTAATTATAATATATATATATATATATGTTTGTCTCTTGTAACTGTACTTTAGACAGCTGACCAATTATTAGCGTGTTGGAAGATTCTGAAGTGGCGATTGAGGTTATAACCTCCCACTCTTCCAGAACCTCGTCAAAAGGGTGGATGGCTCAGTCTTATCTCGTGAAAAAACCTGGTGAAAACATGTACACCCAAGAATGTGATGATAAATACTAGTAGATGTCAATAGAATGAGAACGTATTCATGTTTCTCTTTGCGGGCAGCCACTGAGCCACTTAGCAAACGGCTGAGTTGCTCAGGGGCTCGCACTTCCTGCAGGTGGCGTCAGAAGATCTGACCGCCTACAAACTCTATGAACTCGGTGTATCCTGGCGGCAGAGTGATTTGAGAAGAGGAGATGAAAGTCCAAATGGTGGAGATGGAACAGATATAATACTTTCGTATGGATGCTACATAAGAAGATCCAAGAAGCAAATGTGTTGATAGAACTCTGAAAAGTGAATGTTGGTGATGTTCACTGGAGGGTGATTCCATGATATTCTGTTTTATGGCGAAAGTGGCAATCCCCCGTTGCATGTTACTGCCGGTGACCAGCAGCCCTGACAGGTTCTTTGCCACAACTTGGCAAAACTGAAATCTGGAGGGGAAAAGCCTGGGATCTCAACGGATAACGGATCCAGAGCGGAGGTGTCAATGGGATTCAATGGGGAGCCCCAATGCATGCAATGTCATGTGATTTCGAAAATTTCAGGTACCAAATCCTTTCTTTTGATCACCCGATGACCCTTGATTTGAAGGGTCTACAGCGCTATGTTTGGCGAGCTGGCAAAGCGTCCAGCAGAGGCGTGAGTTTGTTTGACAGTGTGACCCAGAATCCAAAAAAAGATAATCAGATAATCATCATTGAAAAAAGCAAATGCTGGTTGGGTGCATCCCCTATTTTCAAGCAGACCCAGCAGACCCTTCAATCTTGTTGGGTATTTGATGACCCATAATATCTGTATAATTAGTGTGGAGCAAAAACAAACCACCAAAGACTAGCGGAATCGTTTGACCAGGTATGGGAACCAAAAGCTGTTGCTCAGGCAGGTGTTGGTGGTGGCTGTTGGGTTCGTTAGGTTCAGATTGTCACTGATTTAAGGGTGGGTTCTGAAAATAGAGCTCTAAATACATTGGTCAATCATTATCCCTACTGCACCTATCAAAATCGCCATTTTGGTTGGTACATGTTGGTACTAGTATACCTAGTTTTCAGAGACAGCCTAATAAAGCATCTTGTAAAGCCATGATTCGCCTTGGTCAGGTGCTGGACGCAATGAGAAGGCGACAAATGTTCAGCAGGAGACTCATATGGCCATGGGTCAAAAGTCAGGTACCCTGGTGAACCCCCAAAATAGCTGGGATTAATGGATATGACGGATATGAATAACCCCCCAATTTTTTAACAGTTTAACCCATACCTATGCTGTAGATTGTTGTAGTATTACCGGGAGCGTCCCATTCGAAATTATGCTTGGATTTGTGATGCCAATGAAGGTTGGATGTTTGCTGACTTAGGCCACCCTGGCCTTCTGGCGCTGAGCCAAGATTTTTGCAGACGGCTTTTTGGGGACAAAAGTATGACATTACTTCAGCCAGAGAAGATCAAGCAATATTATCAATCCTAGGGACCTCCTATTCTTGAGGATGAAGCCACCAGCGTGCCGCTCATGCATATTGGAGCTGAGGGGTTCAAACCACGCTTTGGACCTGAAGATTGGTCTCCAAGAGCCATCAAGAACATTTGGATGGTAATCTATAAAGTTGTGCACAGGGTTATCTAGGATGCTGTAGACAGTTTCAAAAGACGTGTCCGCAAACATGCTAGTCTGCTAGTCATCAACTCCTTCGCATACAGTAGATGAAATTCAGCTATCAAGACGATTCGAGAAGCAAGGTCAGATGTGGTCACCAAAGGCTTCCAAGGCTTCGAAGGGTTTCAGCATGTGGAAATCCTGCTGCACCCAAAGTGTGACATGCAATGGATACCGGACGCGATCGTTCTGCAAAGTACACTTGCTGCTCAGACATGCCAAGGACATGGCTTGGCCTGAAAATGCAGATTTATCCCCCCACTACATGGCAATGTAAATTGGGAAAATAGACCACAAACATTAATAGACCACAAAATGTTGGGGTACCCCATTTTGGGACACACCCAGATGCATGGACCTCCTAGTTTTTTTGGTTTTGCTGTAGTTCAGGTGATCACCAGATGATCACGAATATACACTTGAATTTTTAGACTATCCTTTACAATCCGACGGCAATTGGACCATTGTAGCAGGCACGCGATGTTTTTTGTTAGAAATGCTTCTCCTTGGAATTTTACAGCAGAACAGGTGTTTAATTTAAAAAAACAATCCCTTTGGAGCAAAAAACACTGAGGTTGATCGGCTCAGCATTACTGGCGCATTTGGCAACTTCCTTTCTGAACCAGACATTTGTTTCTGGTCTTTCTGCTCGACATCGCCTTCAACCTTCAGTTGTCAGATGCTCCGAGCCCTTGGCGATTCCCACGGTGTTGTCCTCCCGGACCCAGCCCTTGGAGTGGAAACTTCGTCAGCTGCTGAATCTCAGCGACGGCGCGCCACTTCAACTGGCTTACATTGGAACGGCAGGTACAGCACCACGAAACGATTCAGATCGCCCCTTGAAGGATCAGCGCAAAAAACGCCGTTACGAAGCGCGCGCTCAATGCAGGCTGTTGGGTGAAATGTTCTCTGCATCGTCAGCACGGCATATATTCCTGGAGGACCACCATCAAGACAGGGGTGGAGGCCCCGAGCCGCCACGTTGTCCCTGTTTTTTTTCATATTCATATCCTTCACTGTACAGCTTCAGAGGTTCAGAGTTCAAAGATGTTCATGCCAGGCCGGGTCAAGTTGACCACGGCTTTGAAGTCTGCCCTGGGTACTGATGGCAACGGATTGCTGTTCGTCGATGGCGGCAATACATTCTGGCTTCTTTGTATAAAACCAGACATTTGAAGCTTCAGACAGATCTTTGTATGCTCAATCTGATGAAATCTGTATGCACATGTCACAGCCCTGAACATGAACTGCACTGTCGGTGATTTGCCAACTGAGGCTCTGGTACCATGCGCATCTTGATTCAAATTCATATTCTAGCAACCCATATAAAAGTCATTGGAAAAGTCGGTATGTTGGCTTGTTTGCCACGTGGGATTTTGCTTTGGTATCTTTTTGGATCTTTTCTGGGGGTGCTAACCAGTGCTAACCCTAAACACCCCATGATGAATATAATTTTCATGACGCATTGCTCGGTTAGGAAAGCAGCTGGCCTTGCGGCAGCCCTACAAGAGGTTCGACGTGTCACGCCCTTTGCGTGGCTGAGATGAACAAATTGGGTTTGGTTGAACATGGAACCCCCATGTTATGTACAGCTGTTTTAATGGGGAAAATGAGCAGTTTGAAGTTGATCAAAGTTGGGGCTACCCCGTGTTTAGGCAAACCCTTGAATTCGGAGAAATCCACGGAACAGGAGAGTAATCGTTGAAGATATCCTGGTGTGATTTCATGTGTGAATTTTTGACTGATTATGTGAACATCAGACTTGCTGGGCAAAGCAATACACCCACTGAAAAGAGAATGAGGTATGCTGGCGTTTCTGCTGGTGCGATTCTTGCCGGCCGGACATGCGATACGGCCTACTGGAAAGGTTGGGATGATCCAACTGTAGTGCCTGAGGAATCACTAGAGGAATCATTAGCCGCTTGGCAGAATTTGTGAGCAGCTGACTATTCACCGTATTTTGTCCGTGATACCTGGCACAGGTAGGGATGAGAGGCGTCATGTTTCTAATATTTGTTGATTGCTATCAAGAATTATGAGGAATACTAATGCTCACTGCATGGCCAAGGATCCTAGATGTAGGGCATATCATGAGTGGCTCGTTCCCAGAATTGATTGGCTGGGCGAACACATGAAACACTGATACTTGGTGTAAATTAATCTAATTTCTCCCATAAATCACTTGACTCATGTAAATCATGTACAATAATCAATTCACGAAAGGTAGCCTCCTAGCGGGCTACCTTGAGTTTTACTTTGCGAAGCAAAGGGGCGGGCTGGACCCCTTATCCCTGAACGACCAGGAGAAAGGGACCCCCCCCTCAAAGGGAACTCTCGCCATATGCCTGGTGAGTCTCTTCACGCAGCAGCCCCTTCGCAGTGTCTCCTCATCATCATCATCAACATCATCATCATCATCCTCCTCCTCATCACCATCATCATTCGACTTGAAATTCGGATTTTTCGACATCCATTTTCCAAGTACCCAACGGTGCGATGAAAGTGACAGGTTCGAGCATCCATAGGTACCGCAAAAAGAGACATTGGAGTTTGTGTGCTAACATTGATCGTGTTTTTTTCCCCGCATGATGCGTGTGTCTGACAATGTATACCTCCAAATGGCTATTTAAATGGACTAAGTGATGAGCAACCATGGACATCGTGGGGTGCTCTCTTTTCGGATCCAGATATCTCCGCTCTGCTCTGAATGCCCAGTTCCATGCCCCCCCCAAGTGAACTCTCGTCACATGCCTTGTGCGTCTCTTCACGCAGCAGCCCCTTCGCAGTCTCTCATCATCAGCATCATCGTCATCATCATCATCATCATCATTCGACTTGAAATTCAGATTTTTCGACGTCCATTTTCCAAGTACCCAACGGTGCGATGAAAGTGACAGGTTCGAGCATCCATAGGTACCGCAAAAAGAGACATTGGAGTTTGTGCTAACACTGACCGTGTTTTTTTCCCCGCACGATGCGTGTGTCTGACAATGTATACCTCCAAATGGCTATTTCAATGGACGAAGTGATGAGCAACCATGGACATCGTGGGGTGCTCTCTTTTCGGATCCAGATATCTCCGCTCTGCTCTGAATGTCCAGTTCCATGCCCCCCCCCCCAAGTGAACTCTCGTCACATGCCTTGTGCGTCTCTTCACGCAGCAGCCCCTTCGCAGTGTCTCATCATCAGCATCATCGTCATCATCCTCATCATCATCATCATCATTCGACTTGCGATTCGGATTTTTCGACATCCATTTGCCACGTCACTTTAACTTTTGCAAGCAAACGGGTGAAGCAAAGGAACGTCGGCGCTTCTTCCATGCTTCGGTTGGACAGAAATTTTCCCTTCGTTCTGTCAAAGCGGTGATTTGCTAGCGCATGACGTCCATATTGACAAGCCTAAGGCTTGGTGTCAGCAGAAAAGGGCCCGGTCGCATGTCGGCTTTCGCACTGAGTGATCCCCCGCGTCCCCTGTGACACAACTACCTTTCGTGTCACCCCTTCTCAAGAATGATCATGTGGGGGTTTCCTAAAATAGGGGTAGCCCCAAATCATCCACTTTAATAGGCCTTTCCAGTATAAGCCATCCATTTTGGGGTATCCCGGATACGGTATCCCCATTTGAGGGAAACCACCATGTGTGGTCGTGTTCTCGGCGCCGTCAGGACGGTTTGGGGCTGGTCGAGCCAGCCGTCTTCCCGCATCATGGACCTCGCTGGGAGGAAACCGTCCCTGGTCCGTGGATGACATAACAAACTAACATGGAGATGTCACATGGGTAAAACATGGTAAAACAATAATAAACCACCCATGACTGGGAATGGTAAACATACCACCTATAAAAATGGTGATGACTGGGGATGGTTTATGACATTGTTTTACCAGTTCTACCCGCATGAATAGGTGGTTAAAGTGGTTAAAGCATGATCTCCAACAAAAACTATCAACAGAAACTACAACTTGTGGATGTTCCATGTTTGACCATACCTGTGTCAGTTTGATGAAGGGCTAATGTTGGCAATGAGTTACATAGCCTGTTGAAAAACGCTGCATGGTTGTTTCATCCATATGTTCTATTTTCATCCCTGCGGATCAAAGACCGCGAAAAAAATGGGTGTTTTTGCATCGATGATCCATTCCCATAAGGAAGGTTTTGCAGCTGATAGGGGGTCTTTGGAAATGGATTCTAGGGTCCTTGGTGATTTAGTTCTACCTCTGATTGTGTGATATATGTTTTCCATTATTTATTTCTTTATCGATCTTATCTATCAAGGTAGGTGGCCTTGGTAGATACTAGTGAAAATGATCCCAAAGGAAAGATCGTCTTGGGCTAGTGTCCCTTGGATGTTTCAATATATTGTTAATTCTTATCCGCCATTCGGTAATCATGCCAAGATGGGGATTGATAATTAGTGTCTCCATCCATTTACCCTTCTATTCGTGGAAGTGCCAGTCAGAACAAACGATCACCATTCGATCGTAGTTCAAATAGGTTTTTTTGGGTTGGGTAAATATAAATATATTTTATATATATATATACATCAATATATGCAGCCGATAGGGGGTCTTCGGAATTTGATTCTAGGGTCCTTGGTGATTTAGTTCTACCCCTGATTGTGTGATATATGTTTTCCATTATTTATTTCTTTATCTATCTTATCTATCAAGGTAGGTGGCCTTGGTAAATACTAGTGAAAATGATCCCAAAGGAAAGATCGTCTTGGGTTAGTGTCCCTTGGATGTTTCAATATTATTAATTCTTATCCTTCTTTCGGTAGTCATGCCAAGATGGGGGTTGATAATTAGTCTCTCCATCCATTTACCCTTCTATTTGTGGAAGTGCCAGTCAGAACAAACGATCACCATTCGATCGTAGTTCAAATAGTTTTTTTTTATGGGGGGTTGGGTACTTCGATAAAATATAGAATATATTATATCTATGTTGTGCAATTGATCTGGGTTCTCTGGAAATGGATTCTTGGGTCTTTCCAACTATTTAATATATGATAGTGGAATTGAATTGTATTATAGGTACTTTATTATTTTCCCTATGAGGTAACCAATTGGTTGATTAAATGGGTATCATCTTACCATTGATTATTTAATATAACTATTTGTTTTTTACCATACTCATAGAAAATTTTATGTGCATTATTATGTTCATTCTTAGGCAACCACTTGGTTGGCTAAATTGATATCATCCCAGTAACGGTTACGGTTATTTTATTTTATGATATTCCTTGGATTAACTGGGGTCCACTACCATTTCTGAAGGGTACCAACCAATTGCTGGATCAAAATGGAAAAGGTATCAACCACGCTCTTGTTTTTTCTAGGGTGGTGCCCCCATATACCTTTGGTATAAAGCCACCAATGTTAATGTTATCCCTGATTATCATTATTTTTTTTCAAGTACTAAATTTCCCCCATTATTTCTACATCTACATCATATATCCTTTAAATGCAATGTCCAACAGCTAATTTGCCGAAGTCAGGGCGCAGAAATCAGCACCCTGAGTTAGGAAAAAAAAATGACGATATCCTAGGTGTTTGGTGGGGTATTGCCTAAGTAAGGTCGCAAAAATCTGCACCTAGACTTGGGCAATACAGAGGTTGTACCCTGGGATTTAGGAAAAAAAAAATTGCCGATCTCAGGGTGCAGAAATTGGCATGTGGACTTGGGAAACAGCCCTACTATTATATTCTACCATGATTTTTGCCGCAGAGGATTCGGGGTCCTTGATTTTGAGATTTAGGAATTTTTTTTTTTTCCCCTCACCTGCCAGGTGTAGGGTTTGTTAGATTTTATGTCAGTTGGCCTCCTCCTCCTCTCTAGTTCTCCTCTCCTCCGCTCCTACCCTCTCCTCCGTCGTCTCCTCCTGCCTCGGCTCTCTCTCGCCTCCTCCTCCTCGTCCTCCCTGTCATCCTTGTCGTCCTGTCGTCCTCGTCAGTCGCTCGTCGTCCTGGCTCAACTGCGACCCCCCCGCGATCCGAGCAGTGTTCCCTGCCGGACCTCAACCACGACCATCCACGCCCAGTGTTCCTGCCGGACCTCAACCACGACCATCCACGCCCAGTGTTCCCTGCCGGACCTCAACCACGACCATCCACGCCCAATGTTCCCCGCCGGACCTCAACCACGACCATCCTCGCCCAGTGTTCCCTGCCGGACCTCAACCACGACCATCCACGCCCAGTGTTCCCTGCCGGACCTCAACTGCGAGTATCCACGCCAAAAGATATGCCACATAGAGTGCCAGAAAATATGCCAGATAGAATGTTAGAAGATATGCCAGATAGAATGCCAGAAGGTATGCCAGAGAGAATGCCAGATAAGAAATTCTCAATAGATGGCCAGATAGAATGTCAGTATAGTGATGCCAGAGAGAATGCCAGATAGAATGCAGAAAGAATGCCCAGAAAGAATGCCAGATAAACTGCCAGATAGGATGTCAGATAGAATGTCAGAATATATGTCAGCATATAATGCCAGATAGACAATGCCGACATATATGCTCATTAGAAATATCTGTCAGATAAATGCCTAAATATATGTCATATAGAATGCCAGAATATGATGCAGAATATATGTCAGAATAGAATTCCAGAAATATATGTCAGAATAAATGAGCAGGTAGGATGCAGAATATATGCCAGATGAAATGTCAGAAAATATGTCAGATAGAATGCCAGATAGACTGCCAGATAGAATGCGAGGTGGAATGTCAGGATATATGCCAGATAGAATGCCAGAATATATGCCAGAATATATGTCAGATAGGATGTCAGAATATACTAAATATATGTCCAAATACACGTCCTGACATGTCATGGTGGGGATCACACGAAGTAGAGTATTTTTTTTTTGCCGATCTTTTGGCTTGGGGGACCCCGTATCCGTCGCATCCGCACATCCGTCGCATAACAATATTTTATTTTATATTTTATCGAAGTACCAACCCCCAAAAAAAACCTATCTGAACTACGATCGAATGGTGATCGTTTGTTCTGACTGGCACTTCCACGAATAGAAGGGTAAATGGATGGAGACACTAATTCTCAACCCCCATCTTGGCATGATTGCCGAATGGCGGATAAGAAGTAACAATATATTGAAACATCCAAGGGACACTAACCCAAGACGATCTTTCCTTTGGGATCATTTTCACTAGTATTTACCAAGGCCACCTACCTTGATAGATAAGATAGATAAAGAAGTAAATAATGGAAAACATATATCACACAATCAGAGGTAGAACTAAATCACCAAGGACCCTAGAATCAAATTCCAAAGACCCCCTATCTGCTGCATATATTGATATATATATATGTATATATATATATAAATAAAATGTTTTATCAAAGTACCCAACCAAAAAAAAACTATTTGAACTACGATCGAATGGTGATCGTTTGTTCTGACTGGCACTTCCACGAATAGAAGGGTAAATGGATGGAGAGACTAATTTTCAACCCCCATCTTGGCATGACTACCGAAAGAAGGATAAGAATTAAAAATATTGAAACATCCAAGGGACACTAGCCCAAGACGATCTTTCCTTTGGGATCATTTTCACTAGTATTTACCAAGGCCACCTACCTTGATAGATAAGATAGATAAAGAAATAAATAATGGAAAACATATATCACACAATCAGGGGTAGAACTAAATCACCAAGGACCCTAGAATCAAATTCCGAAGACCCCCTATCGGCTGCATATATTGATGTATATATATATATAAAATATATTTATATTTACCCAACCCAAAAAAACCTATTTGAACTACGATCGAATGGTGATCGTTTGTTCTGACTGGCACTTCCACGAATAGAAGGGTAAATGGATGGAGACACGAATTCTCAACCCCCATCTAGGCATGATTGCCGAATGGCGGATAAGAAGTAACAATATATTGAAACATCCAAGGGACACTAGCCCAAGACGATCTTTCCTTTGGGATCATTTTCATTAGTATATACCAAGGCCACCTACCTTGATAGATAAGATAGATAAAGAATAAATAATGGAAAACATATATCACACAATCAGAGGTAGAACTACATCACCAAGGACCCTAGAATCCATTTCCAAAGACCCCCTATCAGCTGCAAAACCTTAAGGGCCATATGTCTTGGAATATCTTGGAATATCTTGGAATGGCGAGCCACCAGGCAGCATCATCCAAGGTCGCTGAGTGCTCGCAGAGCCTGCCGAGCGGTTCAAAGCTGCTGTGTCTCACAGATGAAGATACGGAGCTGTTGACAGGAAAGCTGGACTAAAACAGGGAGCGACGTAACAGGTGACACCAGATAATCGAGAAGTATGTTGGCACATCATGTTTCTTTCTGAAAATCGATAAATAGGTTGTATAGAATGGAATGGATAGTTGAAGTATCGCAACCACCAATCAGGATGAGTTGATTCACCAAGCCAATGTGCACATCCAAGGTCATCCAAGCATTCCTGACCGTGGATGAATTTCAACTGCCTGAGCTGCTGCCAAGGTGCTGCTTTTCCAGCGTTTTTTCAGCACCCTGCCAAGCTACTCCGTCCATTCCTTGACACAAGCAGCAGCCTTAGATGTCCTTCCTGTCCACTGTACAAGTTGTGCATTTTCGAACAGAAGTTCATATGACATAAACTGCAGTATAGTAATCCCCAAAACGATAAAAACTTGTATTTTATCAGTGTTTTGGATTCCGATATGTTACATGAATTACAGGATTTTTCTGAATGTCTATCATACTTCTATTGCCCATGACGGATCCATGGTGCTGCTATATATGGTGTGCCATGGATCCCATCAATATACCCCCTTTATGTTAGCATATATGCCATATACATGGATCCTATGGGTAATCACTAGTATATCGTGTATATCCAACACTATCCACATATGACCACCTCTAGAGCATTACTCTCCAAGTTAGCTAACCATACATGGATCCGTCATGGGTTGTGGGGTTTTACTTTACACATCAAACATCATCAAACATCCTCGTGCTGAGGCATCCTGGTGCTTGGTGGAGCTGGATGCACTGGACTGCGCAGAAGAGCTGTGAAGGGTCCCAGGGAATGGGTTTATGAGGTTTATGGCTGATATATCATGATATATCATGATACATCTATTTAAAAAATTGCTTTAAAAACTATTATTACCCAAATGATGCCCATGTTTAGGGGAATAAACATCCATCAACCAAGAATTGTCAAGAATTTTAGGGATAGATAAGGTGAGGGAACCTTAAATTCTTATCACTTTCTTAATTTGGTATTTGGGTTCGAATCCCCCGGCGGGCCGCTGGAAAGTTGTTTTTGGGGTTCAGGGTTTAGTGGCTTCAGCACTGGCCAGGTGGAAGAGAAGCTGAGCTCTACATGAGGGTCCTTCAAATTCCTAAGGTAACAATGAATTGATTGGGATTAGTGCTGAGCCACAGAATTTTTTCTTGTGCAGCACTTTCCGAACAACGGTACTTATGGCGGCAATGCTGGCACCGAAGAGCTGCTAGGAATATTAGTAGGAATCAGAGACCAAAATCGTTTTCTGTGTGTGAAGATGGTTTAATGACCAAAGTTGACCCAAGTATTCTACATGTGGAAAAGGTTCCATTATGTCCCATGGAAAAACGTGATATAACGTGATGACAATCTCACCACAAGCTGAGGCATCAAGAGTTGCCTCCTGATGAAGCTCCCCAAGGCGAGGACGAGGCTTGACGACACGCCCAGCATGGCAGAGCCCTGGCAGAGCCTCTCAGCTCCAGGCTTTCCGCAAGGGAGATACGCCATGCGAAGAGTCTTTGAGCGGCTGCAGGCCTGTGGTTGTTTTGATTGTTGTTTGTAATATGTGTCTTATGCCTGTTGTGAGGATGTTGTGAGTCTGTGTTTTCTTCAGGCAGCATAGACAGTTCTTTCCTGATTTGGATATACCCCAAATTAGCAGAAATGAGCCAGTTCAATAGCATGATCATCCGGAATTCAGAATGTTTTTTCAACCAATGGAATTTAACAGGTATCCTCCTTTTGGACAGTCAGCCATTTCATGTCAGAAACATGGTGGCTTTCGGATTTTCACTGTCTCAGGAGCTGGATTCCCAAGAGCCATTTACTCCAACACAGCGCTGTCATGTGCAGACACTGATCCGAGCCGCTCGGCCTCATTGGATCCAACCGGACTGGATCCAATAGTTCTATAATAGCAATAATTATAGACATATATACCCTCTGGTTATTTAACATAGCCATGGAAAATCCCTCATAAATGGAGGTTTTAATGGGAAAATCATCTATAAATGGGCCATTTTCCATGGCTATGTTAAATAACCAGATGGTATATATAATATAATATGTAGTAATCTAATGTAATTTAGTGATCTATAGGGGAGATCCACAGATATATCAACGACGATCAACACGCAATCACTGTTGCGAACCCTGCTCCAATCTGCTTCGCAGCCAGGCATATCGTTATCGCCATGAGTTGGACCATGGTTTGCTACCTCCAAAGGCCAGGCCAGCTTTCGCCAACTTTTTCTGTCGCTCATCCTTTGGAAATACACAAGAATCAAGGAGTCATAGACTCACGGGATTCGGGTTGATTTTCGAGAAAAAGAGTTTGTGGTGCTCTAATTTTGTCAAAGATTCGAAAAAAAAGCATGCTTGACATGGCTTGAAAACATTTAATTAAAACATTTAAACACCATTATAATTTATAATCCATTATTTAAATCATGTTTTAAATCATCGAAAAACGAAACGTCTCTTGGGTCGGGCACAGAAGTTTACCCCATTTGCAGCACGCCATCAGCACGCCATCTCCACCAAGGTGAAATCGTTCTGCAAAGCCCAGTTCGATGTATCGAGCTCTGTGGCGGGGTGCCCCGGTCATCGATCCATGGAGGGATTAATACAGGGAAAATGGATTCCCAATACGGGATGACCGTACTATATATGTTCATTACTTTCTTCACTCATGTTTGAGGTCTGAGAAGACCCCATATTATGGGTTATGGGTTATTTTTGATGGATTCAGTAATTCAGTCCCCAAACACCAAAGATACGTGTGGAACACAACATGTTGCAACTGATGTTGCTTGGATGTCGCAAAACCTTGAGGTTTCAGCTGTAGCGCGGGCATAGAGAAAAAGTGTGCTGGAGGTGTTTGTAGCCGGATTTCACTGGCAGTGAGCAACCTTAGGGGTGAACATGACAAGTGCTGGATGCATTGCGAATCATTGCGACATGTTTGTGATTGAGGCCTCAAGAGTGAAAGCCAAGTTGAGAAAGATGCAGAGAAACTAGACATGATTGCTACGTTCCAATCATGTATTATAATTACAATGTATTACAAATTAGTTTAGTACAAAGCATTCCAGGAAGAAAGGTACACGTGGACGCCAAAGCAAACCACTGTATGGTGCAAACAGGTTTGCTTTCCGGGATCATTAGTCATCGGAACAAAATCGCTACAATATGATTGCTGTCATGATTCATGATGAGCGCAACATCCAGCACGGCAACTGTCTTAGCCTTGCAGCATTGTTCATGTAAAAGTCAAACGTTCCAGCGAGCTTGAAACTATGCAGTGGCACATACTCTTGGATTGCCTGTAGGCAAAAGTTCTCCCTGTGCCATGTTTGGTTTTGCTGTCTTGCAGCTTGCTCAAAACAGACTCAAACATGCCCAGACTTTCTGTTTTTGATGTCAAAGTCTGTGCAATGTGAGATGCAACAAATGAGATTGGCAAATCCAGTGATAAGGTATGGAGCGGGTGCCTCAGATTTGCTGCTCACAGCTTTCTCAAGGACACCTGCCTTCAACATCGATGAGACACTGCCTTGCCTGAAATTGGGTTCACTTGTTTTCTTTTGTGTATTGTTGTTATTTTTCAGTCTGGGGAATTTGTCCTTGCTATTTGCTACATTTTGGAGCTAAAATTTCTATCTTTTTTGCTGCATTTTGTGGCTAAAATCTCTCATTTGCAATGTTCACCGATTTTTCCATGGTTTTCATTCATTCTTCCATAGATTTCATCGATTTCTCCATGGTTTTCATTGATATTCCTCTGGTGTTTATCGATTTTTCCATGGTTTTCGTTTTTTGTTCCATAGAAGTGATCGATTTTTCTGTGTATTTCACTGATTTGTGCATGATGTTCATCGATTTGTCCATGGTGTTCATTGATTTTTTCATTGGTTTTATCGATTTACCGCTGGTTTTCCCAACCAGTTCGGGGATGATATTTATATATATATATGTATATAATATATATATATGGTACGAGTCAAAATGCAAGGTATGGATCAAGGCCCCAGGCCCACACACGATCCATACCTTGATCCATACCCTATGATACTGCATGATCCATACCCTTGATCCATACCCCTTTCTCGTTGAAGAAAGACTGATGCTGGCCCTAATGCTGCTTTCTATCCTAATACTGCTTCTGGTCCTCGTACTGCTACTCCCGTTGCTACTACTGTTGCTACTACCGTTGCTACTACTGCTGCCTCCGCTGCCTCCGCTGCCTCCGCTGCTTCCGTGCTGCTGCTACTGCTGCTGCTGCTGCCACTACTAGTCATCTTCCTCCCAGGAGCTGCTGCTACTGCTGTCGCTTCTGCTGCTGCTCCTGCTGGTCCTGCTCCCGCTGCTGGTGCTGGTTCACTTCCTCCGTGTGCTTCTGGTAGTTGGACAAATGCAACTAGTTGACTAGCTACTAGCAATATTGCAAGTGCACCTTGGAGGCCAGTAAGACCGGTTCTAGTTCCACTAGGTGCTTCTTGTACTTCTAGTGGCGCTATGATTAAAACTCGTTTCTGCTTTGCCTGGCACGTGTAGAACTAGACTAGACTAGAAATACCCCGCTTTCTTCCTTCACAGCCATAGCGGGAAAGCCGGCCCAGATAGCGTGTCCCGATCCATACCCCCAATCTATTCCCGTTCCATACCCGATCCATACCCGAACTACGTCACGCCACAACAAATGCCAATATGAAAGTCCGATTCTATTCTACTTCTACTGCTGCTGCTGCTGCTTCTACTTCTACTACTGCTGCTGCTGCTATTCCTAGTCCTACTCCTACTCCTCCTTCTCCTCCTACCACTCCTAATACCACTGCAGCTGCTGCTGCTACTACCATTAAACTACTATTATTATTATTGTTACCAGTAGTACCGCACAAGGCGGTGGCGGAAGTTTCAAAAATTGGAAACCTATAGGAGAGGTTGGTTGTTGTGAATCACGGATGGCAGAGCGAAGCCACTGATGGACCGAAAGGTGATTGATGTCTCCTCTCTTTCTCTCTTTCTCTGACTATCTACCTACCTACCTACCTACCTATCTATCTATCTACCTATGTTTCTATCGATCTATCTATCTACCTATCTATCTTTCTATCTATCTATCTATCTAACTATCTATCTATCTATCTTATCTTACCTTATCCTATCCTATCCTATCCTATCCTATCCTATCTGTCTATCTATCTATCAATCAAAGTATCTATCTATCTATCTAACTATCTATCTATCTATCTATCTATCTATCTAACTATCTATCTATCTATCTATCTACCTATCTATCTATCTCTCTCTCTTTCACCTGTCTAGCTGTCTACCTGTCTATCTGTATATCTATCTATCTATCTATCTATCGATCTATCTATCTATCTATCTATCTCTCTCTCTCTCTCTCTCGCTTTCATCTGTCTATCTGTCTAGCTGTCTAGCTGTCTATCTGTCCATCTATCTATCTATCTGTCTATCTGTCTACCTGTCTATCTGTGGTGCAGTGTCATTCAGTGTAATGTAGTGTAGTGTAGTGTAATGAAGTGTAGTGGAAGGTAGCGTAGTGTAATGTAGTGTAGTGGAAGGTAGCGTATTGTAGTGTAGTGTAATGCAGTGTAGTGTAATGTAGTGTAGTGTAATGTAGTGTAGTGGAGTGTAGTGTAGTGGAGTGTAGTGGAGTGTAGTGTAGTGTAATGTAGTGAAGTGGAAGGTAGTGTAGTGTAATGTAGTGTAGTGGAGTGTAGTGTAGTGTAATTTAGTGTAGTGGAATGTAGTGGAGTGTAGTGGAGTTTAGTTGTGTAGTTGTAGTTGTAATGTTGTGGAGCGTTGTGTAGTGTACTGTAGTGTAGTGTAGTGGAGTGTAGTGTAGTGTGTAAGGTAGTGTAGTGTAGTGAAGCGAAGCGAAGCGACATCTGAACCTCCAAAAGTGGTCCGAACCCCTGGTGTTTTTAACATTTTGACTTCGAGATGTGCTTCGCGCCACAACGGCGTGCACTTTTTCCACATCGAAACCTCCAAAAGTGGTACGAACCCCTAGTGTTTTGTACATTTTGACTTGGAAATGTGCTTCGCGCCACAACGGCGTGCACTTTTTCGACATCTCAACTGCCAAAAGTGGTCCGCACCCCTAGTGTTTTGCACATTTTGACTTTCAAATGTGCTTGGCGCCACAACGGCGTGCACTTTTTCGACATCTCAACTGCCAAAAGTGGTCCGCACCCCTAGTGTTTCGCACATTCTGACTTTCGAATGTGCTTCGCGCCACAACGGCGTGCACTTTTTCGACATCTCAACTGCCAAAAGTGGTCCGCACCCCTAGTGCTTTGCACATTTTGACTTGGAAATGTGCTTCGCGCCACAACGGCGTGCAATTTTTCATCTCTCATCTGGCCAGCTGGCTCCGCACCCGCCGCTTTAGCGAGCCTACTTTTCGACCCTCCGGAGCCCCAAAATCATTGGAAAAACATAGTGTTTCGCGACTTTCCTACCTTTTCACGCATCTGCATCTTCTTTCTTCTTACTCTTCTTTCTTCTAATCTTTCTCTTCTCTCTGCCTCTTCCCTGCTCTGCTTTTCATCTGCCCATATTGTCGGAAGTTTGACTTCTAAACTACCTTCGATTGTTCTTACTTTTTCTACCTAGCGAACCTAAAACCTACGAAATTGTAGGTCGCGACAGAAAAACCTGGTTATTGCAATGAATGGTCTCAAAAACCTGGTTTTCATCAAAAACCTATATTTACCCCCTTAAGATCTTAATCAATTATGTATACATACTATTATATACTCCTTTCCCCCTGTATCACGTGCTTTCAGGATCTACCAGTGCCTCGCTGTGGATCAAGAAGCAGCACATCGCTGCGTTGCCACATGGGTCGCAGGGATATGGCCAATATATGTGAATGAGTATCTATTTATATAAAAGAAATTGAATATATGTTGTAGACGGAACGAACAGTAACTCAGTAACGGTATCGGAAAACAAATAATGTGTACATATATACCTCCATCATATATAGTGTTTATTGATGAGATCATGCAAAAGAGCACCATATAAACCTTAAATTTCAAAAACATCATGAAAGTATACAAATCTAAGATTTCTGTGAAGCAAACAGCTTCACATGGAGCACATGCTACTGTTACTGCTACTGTTTTTCCTACTGCTACTGCATCTTCTCCTTCTGTTGCCACTACTGCTGCTGGTGCTGTTTTTTTACTGTTCCCTCTACTAGCAGTGGTAACAGTTTTAGCAGCAACAGTAGCAGGAGGAAAAGTAACAGCAAGTAGGAGATACTGGGAGTATCAGCACAGTTTGTATGCTATGATGAGCCCTTACGAAAGGGCACGGATCAGGCACCTTATGTAAGCACTCCCGATCCATAGCACGGATCACCACGGAGCGATCCATACCCGACGTTGACTCGCACCCATGTAAATAATATATATATGTGAACAATGAATAGATGTAGTAAATAAGAACTATTATGAAGATGAATAGATGAATAAATATATTGTACGTATATAAATATATATGAAGGATGCAGCCTGGTCACTGGACCTAGGTCTAAAGCGCCGATGTCGCCGATGTCGTTGTGCCGGCCGTTCGGAGTCCCTGGCTGCGTTTGTGGCTCCTGATTTTCCCTAAGGAGCTGATTTCGATTTATGGCCAAGTAGAGGTTAGTTGAACAACGCAGGTGGCAATCATTCTGTCCTGTACAACCTTTTCTGAAGGGTTTCAAGGTTGTTTTGCAGGGAGTTTCTAGAAGGTTTTTCGCAGCATTTTGCATTTCCGATCTTGCATCATAGGTTTATTGTTTCTCAAATGTCTGCTGGACACCACTCAAAACACAC